CCAACTTTCACTGTATTAATCTTTTTCTTTTCATCTGCATTCATAGGGCTTTCCTGTTCTCCATATATTATTATCAGTCATTCTAGACATATGTTGAATTTATCAATCATACTGTGTCTGTGCTATTCATGATTTACCATTTCCACTGGGCAATTTCCCTAGGAAATCCTCAAGTTGTGTTTGTCTCTTTCTCCCAGCAATATCATATGGATGTGCCTGATGTTCTATAATTGATTAATGTACTTGAGTCCTTGGACATGGCTATGTCCTGTACATGAACTCCTGGTCTATGTGAAGCAGAAATTTTCGGAGTTCCCAATATGCATAATTTTCACAATTTCATGCTGTTCTGTTTCATTCCATTTCTGTTACTTCTATTCTTAATGTGATCCAAATATTTCTGCATAAAAACAATACTCAGCTGAATTAGCAATTCATGATTGTCAGCAAGGTTTGTCAATGTGTTACTTTTTGTACTTAGTTTATTAATGAAAAGTATTCTTGAACTGAACTGATTGAAGAACGTCATTTGAACTACATTGGTAATCTGTTCTTGAAACTACTTGTTTTCTGCTCTGTAGTAAATTCTTTAGTGTTCTTACAATCCCTCTTTCTTCATCCAAATTAAGAATTTTTTTAGTGGCAACATACCAGGTTTTTTTTAAGCTCTAATAGAGAAGTTATTACATACTGCCTTGGACTGACAGTCCAGTTTACCTCTGGTATTCTCTTCCACCTCAAAGACGTGTTCAAAACTACACACATGATTGAGGTAATATGCTTGCAGTTACCTATGTCGCTCCTTGCCCCCATTGCACATAGGAGAAGCTTTTAATATATTTAAGTTTTGCTTTGGCAAATGCGTTTACTTGGTATTGTATGTACTGGTGCAAATGTTTTAAAACATCTTTTCTGTTGAAATTGATTTAATGTTCTAATTCCTGTGAAGTCAGAGATTGACATTTCTTTTTTCTTGTGTTCCTCTTCCATAGTACTAGCTTTGTTACATTCAGCACCATCATTCTTTATTGAAATTTGGGACAGTGCAGCTCATTTGGTTTAGGGATCATGCTGTTAAAAGTATTACAGAGCCACATCAAAAGAACAGTTACCACTGAATTCCCTGATTTTAGAGTTGTTTTGGATTATATGACAAATCCTGCACACTTTAGCTTCATATATTCGGCGTCATACAGAGTGTAGGGTTAGACTGCTGTGATAGTGCCATGAATTCACAGCTGAGCTCAAGTTTAGAAAAAAATCACACATGGCTTTAATAACAAAAGCATTCTCTTCAATAAACTATTTTTAGAAAGGATAATAAATCACAGTGTAGACAAATTGAGTGTTGTGATTAAGGAATAAAATACTTTTTAACAGATTGTAGTTAGACGCTTCTTTATGGCGGCAACAACAACAACAAAAAAACCCCTTGAGGACTTGGAAATCAACTGATTGATTTGGGGGTTTGAATTAATTCAGCATCACTCTGTTGGCAGAGTAGCATTCTAGGTGTTAACTGGTGCTTTAACACATGTGAAGTAGTCATATAGTTGTGTCATTCTACACTGTTAATATTGGGCAGGTTTTGGAGAAATTCCAGCTGTTGTTTGCTTTAGATCCTGTGCCTTAGCAGGGCTGCCAGTCTTCTTCAAGGGGAATCCAGAAATGGCTTGGAAAAGGTATCACTGTGGCCTCTTTGGTTTTGTCAAATGTAATTTTTTGTTGTGGTGGTTTGTTTTGTTTTTAGTGAAATACATTCTCATGAAGGTTATAAGTACATCAGTTTGGGGTGTGGCATTTGTTAGAAGCACTAGAACAGCTAGTCTGGGTTTTTTAAACCTTTTTTTAAAGCTTTTAAACTACATAGCTGTATTGGAAAGCCAGGTGATTTCAAGAACAAAATGTTTGCAGACTGTTTCTATTTCTGTAAAAGAGCAACACAGGCTATTTGAGAACTAATTGTCTTAGGTTTTTTTTCTCATTTAAGTTACTCAGCTAAACAAGAAGCACAGTTCAAAGGACGGATAAAAAGAAAAAAAAAAAAAAAAGCCTGAAATCTCTCCTGATAGCTGTGACAGAAAAACTGATGGATTCTACTGTGGTGACTGAAAAAACTGCCTCAACCCATGCACATCATGTTTTTGACACAGCTGTCTTGCTTGTGTAGTGTAGAATAGGGCATGTATCCACACAACAGTTCACATAGTTTGTATTGGGACATCTTTATTGTAAATCACTAGTTTTCCATCAATGGCTTAAGCTCACCTGCCCAGCAGTGAGATGTTACCACTAGAGCTGTGGGTGCAGCAAGGTTGGTCAGTGCTTGTCTGCCCAAGTCTTGCAGCCAGCTGCAGGACTTTCCTGGCTAAGGGCAAATTTGACACTGATAGTAGTAGCAAGAGAAAGACAAAACAAGTAATAGTATTAAGGCTTCATATCTGCATGTCAGGGAAGGAGAAGGTAATTGCAGCCCTGCTGGGTTTTGCTTTTCATTTTTGAGGTATTTTCAATGCTGATAAGTATTCTCAAATTATAATGATTTTAAAATGAGGAATTATAGCAGAACTTGTTCTCAGGGTCATTTTATTACACGTTTTTATATATATTCTTATACATATTTACATTTTAATATATATGAAAAGAGAAGTATTAATGAAGATTTAGGTACAAAGTGGAGATTGTTACATACTTGAATAGGCTTGGACAACATTTTTCATAGCTACCTTAGATGGTCTTATTAAACAAAAATCACCATGAAATTGGAAGCGAGTTGTATGAAAATGCTATTTTTTGCCATTTCTTATTGGTTGTTTTTTTTTTTACTAACGTACAATGCAGTACAGTGGTAACATTGCATGTTAAGTTCCTGTGCCAGTGTGTTTCCCACCTTATTAAAGTGAGGAACTAGATAACCAATTTTCCAAAAGTAAAACACTTACTCTTGAAATGTGGGAGAGTGAAAATTTGAAATACTGAAACTTGCATGAAGAGAGACAAATTACTTTAAAACATACTTTAAACAGACTATTAGTGGGGTTTTTTTGTTGTTTTTCTTTTTCCCTTGATGGACTTCAAAAATAATACTGTAAATAAAGTCTTCATTGTTTTGCTACATACAAGCTGTTGACAGTTTTTGTCTTCCATGTGTTTTATTTAGGACTGAAGTTCATTGCAGTTGAAACACAGAATAAAGTAATAATACTTACAGACTTATGTTGCTGGCTTGGTGTTTTTGTAGCTAGAAAGACCTTCCATGTCGGCTGTCAGAATTGGTCCTATTACTTGTGATTAGGAAACACTAAAAAGAGTGAATATATTGGTTACCATATGGCTTTTACCTCTGCCTCTCCAGGAGGCTTATTTTGAAGTTCCTAGTGGTTAGGATGTCTGCAGAGCGTGTTGTTCTGAGTCCATCCCAGCACTAACGGCAGCGCTGGGGCGGCTGTGGCATTTGGGGAGCATCACCCGAGTCCGTGAGGCGCCCAGCCCGGAGCTCGCCCCAGCTTCCTCTGGCGCAGAGGTGCTTTGTCGCTTCATTAGGGAGAAGTCAGAGACGTGTGAAAAGTAGGGCAGGGGTCGGGGCGGCCTGCCCCGGCCTTGCTGAAATTGAAAGTGACAGACACCTCCTGGCTCGGCCGCTAATTTGCCTCCATGTTAAATGCCTCTGAAGACTAATTAAAATGAAAAGTTCTTGGGTCTCACCGACAGACAGATTGAGTTATTGATGCTGGAAGCGGCCACCAACAGTAATTGCAGCCCATCCCTGAGCGAACGGCAGTTTTGGCATTCATGAGCAGCGCCAGGCTGACAGGGGTCAGGGGGGTCAAGCCCACCGAAACAAGAGGCCGAGGAAAGGCAAAATCAGTCCTCTGTTCGTCTTTGTGCAGCAGCGCTTTTGTTGCAATTAACTATTTAGGTGTCTGAGCTCCTTTTTAGTCCTCTGAGGCCCAATTATGCTTCCCTTGTGAATTGCTGTAGAAAGTTCGTTAAGCAGAACGTGAGCACAACTACTAAAGTCTGAAAAAGTAACTTCTTACTCAGTATGGCTGTCTTAGCTATGTGTTCATCCACTCGATGTGTAGAACTATATTTGATTTTGGGAGCAAATGTCATGGGCATATAGTAGCATAATTTCTCAGGAGGGATTAATTGGTACAAAACTTGGGAATCCAGTAGGGTATCAGGATTCTGAATTGGAGTTAACAGAGATGAATAATAAATGTTCACTGTTGTGAACTAAGCTCACTCTATTTTCTCTAGAAAACATTATATATATTTAAAAATATATATAACGCAGTCTACAGCAAGAGGGGCTGGAATCTAGTTGATGCTAAGTGAGAAATTAGTTTCTTCATTCGACTGTTAAATGAGGTTGTGCGCTTTTTGCTGTTTTGTTTTTAAGATGTAGTACTAATCTAGAAGACAAAAATAACATAAGTACATTAGGCAACTAAACTAACTACTTCAATGCAAATTGATCTTTCTTTTTTGCTTGACAGGCTGGGGGGGATTACTGCAAGGAAGTTTCTCTGCAAGCATTTTTCAACTGGTGGCTCGAGATGGTGTTGCTTTTATCACTGCAATATTATGAGAAGTCACCACTGAGTTTAATTTTTAAGAAAAGTAATAAGCATAAATTTTAGTTGCTGTAAATAAAACAGGTTTCAGACAGATTTACGTTCCTATAGCTGTATGTGAGTCTAAAATATATGGCTATGGCTGGTTAGTTAACATATCTAATATTTTTGATAGGAATGTAAAAACATTCACATAGGCTGTTACTAAAAGTCTATATTTGAGATGAACCCTGCAATTCAGTTAGATAATAAATATGGCTAATGTTTTCAATTACTAATCTTAATAAACATATGCTTTTAAAATTATTTTTTGCATTCACATGGTTATGATCAGTGTGATGAAAACTCTTGAGGTTGGTTGGTTTTGTTTGTTTCAGAAATGCAGGGAGTTTCTTAATATCTTGTTTTACTCTTCCTTTCAGGAAACGAAGTTGGAAAAGTTACAAAAGCATCTTTCCAGTCAAGCACCAAATCTTGTATTAGGCTTCACCGAACAGACTAAGCTTAACATTTGTCAAGCAGAAGGACCAGTTGTCTTGCACAGGAAGGATTAAAAGTAAACAATGACTCAGTTGAGAGCTTATGAGCGATTGCTTGGAGCATATCTACTTATCATTCTCTGTGTTCAAGGTAAAGACGTGCTGTTTGAAATAAGTTTATTTTTTTGTTCTGTAATGGAGTTGTGTGTATAGTGGTTTTGGGGGGATTGGGTGGGTGGTTGGGGGTTTTGGTTGGTTTTGGGGGTTTTTTTTGTTTGGTCTGTGTTTTTTTAAAATTGCAGTATGCTGTTCCCCATGCCTTCTGATGTTCCCAGCAGTCAAGAGATCATATGGTCTAACTAATCTAAATAAACTTGTTATGCTTACTTGATGGACCGAGGCGAGTGTATGGGATGTTCACAATTGCCTGGGTTTCAGTTAGAGGAGTTACTCGTTTTTATGTCTGTTGTCTTTCCAGCCACCAGCTATCAAAAGCTTCTGGAAGTCCATTTATCATTAGGACTTTTAACTCCTCTGTCAAATTGGGTTGAATTAAAAAGTATTGGGAATAATCCAATGTGACTGACTGATCGTATATCAGGAATTAAAGCTTAAGTGTAAAGATTATAACTTGGGGGGGAGGAATACATTTTTATTATTATTTTTTTACTACTTATTAGCAGCTGTACCTTGCAGGTCTGATTCTGTAGTTGCTTGTAGTTCAGAGAAGTGTCACTACAGCAGAACGGTATCTGAGCTGTTAGTGGTATTGCATTCTCATGTTTGGGACATGAACAGTAGCGCTCTGCCTGTCCATCAAGCATGTACATCCATATTTGGTCTCTGTGTAAGATTTCTGGTTCTCCCAGCTGTGCACCTTGAACATGTTTGAGTACACAGAGTTTCCCATGTGTTTCGAGGGAAATAGAGAAGACTAATTTGGTACTGCCATTTTGATACTTGAATATAAAAGGCTTTATATTCTCTTTTCATACTTACATCAATTTTTGCTTAATGCTTGATTTTGTTTTGAGATATTCTTTGAGCTTTTTACTTTCAAGAATAACAACTCAGTGAATCCATTAAATAGGCAGAGGAAGAAGCCTGGTAAGTACTGAAGTGACAGTCTCTGTTCTTTTTCTGGTCTGTATGTGCAATTAAAGGATTAAACAATTTAGTGGAGCTCTCTTTATCAGGACTATGCTTGATACATAGCTTGACAAATGATTTTAAGAGCAGACTTGCATCACATGTATAATGGGCCTGCCCCTTCCAAGCCACTTGATTCTGCCTCTTCCCATGTGCTGGTACTTACTCTCTTGTAACCAAGTGCCAGGGTGCATTTGGGAACTGCTGCAGCTTCTAACCTGGGTGTGGGGATGCACTTAGGCAAAGTGCAAGACTGTACCTTTAGATATAACCCAAACCTTTATTAAGCAGTAGATATAAATGTCACTGAAGATATTTACCTGGAATTGACCAAGGGTGAGCTGTTAACTACACTGAGACCTGGATTAAATGAATAGTGCCTCAGCCCAAGGAGGCTCTTGCAAGTACCATCCCACATGCACATTCACAGCTACGCTGTTAGGGAATAGAAGTCCTCTCTAGGTCTGTGCAGAATTGCACTTCGTTAAAGATATTTGAAACTGTTATTCTTCCTCAAGTTTCCTGTGGGGTTCAGTCCAGGAGGCTACCACAAGCACACTGAAGACTTCTGCATCATTGAGTACAGCCTACAGAACTGTAAACTTTCATTCCAAAATTTGACAAGTGTTTCTGTATAATTACCAAGTTACTTGAGCACTTTCATCTTTTTAGCCTGCAGGGGCTCTGAATAGTGTCTCCTAACTTACACCTGTGTGCTTTAAACGCTGATGTTCAGCTTGATTCACTCTCTGTGTTTGTGTGTATGTATGTATGCATGCACACATGTATTTCAGGAGTGGGGAAAAGCATGTGTCTTAGTTTAAGCTCTGCTATTGTAGCAATGATTTCAAGGTTGAAAGCAACAAAACAAATCTAAATCCAGGATTCTTCCATCTTTGTAACATTATTTAAGGTGGGAGAGGGAAATTCTCAAGGCCAGTCTCTTTTTCTGTTGTGGACATAAAATTCTTAATCGTCGAGAAATAGCTCAGTCTGTTTGGACAGGAATAGCCTAGTTTAGGTGTAGCTGAAGTTTATGATACAGGTTTGCAAATATTTACAGATAGTTGGTAAGGTGATTAGATTGGTAATGGGCAAAATCACATTAAAGGAAATTTTGGTGAGAAATTAGGAGAGAAGTTTTTCACAGTGAATGTGGTTAAGCATTAGAACAGGCTGCCTGGAGAGGTTGTGCAATATCCATCCTTAGAGACAGTAAAAACTTTACCAGAATTACTCTGAACAACCTGGTCTAACTTAGAAGTTGGTCTTGCTTTGACCAGGTGTTGGTACCAGGTGGCTTCTAGAGGCCTCTTCCACTCTGAAATACTCTTAGACATAGCATTTTGCAGTGGAGCTTGTTCTACTAGTATTCCAGCAGTTTTGCTGCTTCTTACAGAAGATACCAGCTTCTCCCCTTGAAGCAGTTGGGTGTGATAGGCTTTGTTCTTTTTACTGAGGTCATGGTTACCCGTTTGTGTTAGTCAATATTCAGTGGTTTACTCAAAGGCAATAGCAACTGAAGGAACAATTTTTTTTATTTTTTTTTTTTTCCTCTCTAGATACAAAGAGAAGCAATAATAAAATTATTCAGGTCTTCCTGGTGGCTTAAATTACATTAACTCCTTCCATGATCACATTTATTAATCATGCTTCAATAAATAACTTCAAATAATACAGCTAAATAAAGTTTAAAGACTGTCTACATATTTTTTGCCTGCTTCTAAAGAAGAAATTGCCTTGTCTTAGGAATATTTCTGACTTTCGAATCAATACTGAGTGAGCCTCAAAGCCGTGGGAAAATTGAGCTTGCTGAAATGTTGGTTCTTCGATGCAAGTTGCTTAAGGGCTTGTCTTCAAACGTATGAAATATGCTTGGTTTCTAGGGGTGGTGAATAGAACAACAGTCAAGCCTCTCTCTTCTTGTTCCTAGATTCATGGAGGAGTTGTGCCTGGTGGGAGAGGGGGGAAGAAATAAAGTTAATAATCATCAAGTATTTGAACTTTTGTAGGAAAGAGGAAATCTAAAGTGAGAACCCTAAGCAGTATAAATTCAAAGTGGAAAAAGTAGTTTCAACAAGGAAAGTATTTGTAGGATGCTGCAAAAATGCATCATAAAGCAACCAATAGAGCTGGAGAGCAGAGAGAGTAGAAACTCCCAGCCTGTTTACTTTCAGTGACTGACACTGAAGCTTCGTGGTTTGCTCGCTTGTTTTGGAGGCTTCTTCAGAATGGCAGGAATTTCAGGGCTGATCAAGACCTGACAGAATGAAGTAGCAAGTGTGCCTGGATATGCACATGTATATATACACACCTCATTTCTTAACAGGTAACTTAAACCAAGTGGCTTTGTGTGTTGATTAATGTGATAATATTCTTGAAACAATAGCAGGAAACAGAGGCAATTCCATGATGTTGGTGAACAGCTGTTGTTTCTCAGGTCAGTAGTATGGAGCAGGGAGACACAATTGTTACTCACTGGGTTGGACTTTTTCACTTCTGTTGAGAAATGATCAAAAATAAGCCTGGGTAACAGATGGCTAGTTTTAATAGCAACTTTTTCAAGAAAAGCAATTTTTATTTCCTTTCTTGCTGTGGAAGGTCTTTGCAGTATCTTCAGACCTGTGACTTGCACTGCATCTTCACCTACCTACCCTTGCTCATCTAAGGCAAGAGGTTATCAGCTTCAGTTACAGTTGAGGACTGTAGTAAATATACTTTTGTCTTCCCACTAGAACAGGTTTTTAGTTCAGAGATCTGCTTCCAAGTAGAGATCATTGTCTTTATAATGCATTGATGAGCATAACTAATCAATATATGTAACAGAATAGTTTAAGAACTTAATATGTACTTAAATATATTCTCATAAATTTTGTTCTTTGTTACTGTCAATTTACTATATGATGTAATGTTAGATAGGTGGTTCATCACACCTTCCTGTGTTCTTCAAAGACAGCACGGAAGACCAGTATTTCAATCCTTGTGAATTAGTTGACTAAAAATGTCTTAATAGCATGCAATCTGTATGAGGAAAAGTTTGTTAAAAGTTAAATTTTAAAACAGTTAGCATTAACATAAAAAATGGAAGTCCATTTAAAAAGTTGGCATTGTCCATTAGTGAACCAAAAAAAGTCTGTTGAGATTTTATTTCACTATCATGCTTACTCTTATTCAAAGATTTGATATGGGAATTTATTTATTTACTTTTATGCACTTTCAGAATTTCAGGTGAAGTAGTTACTGAATCTAAACATCTCAACTTGTCTGAAATAAAGAAATGTTCTAAAATCTGCAGAAGGAACTTAAAAGCTTTCAGAAGCTGATTCATTATCTGACGACAATGTAGTTCTGTTTACCAGCGATTTCCCCAGTAAGAGCTGCATCTGTCTTTAAAACACAGGCAGCAAACTTGTATTGTTAAATATTTGTCTGATTAAAGTTATTTTAATGGATTATTTGAAGGTTATATAATTATTATTAGACTTTCACATTTAGTTTTAAGTAACTATTCTTTAAAAGTCCGTTTAAATTAGAACATTGTACTTCTTTTAAAGTAAAATACACGTTTCCTTTTGTCTGGCTTTTTTACTGACTACATAGGAACAGAGAGTAATCTTCAGAAATTACTTTTTTGAAGGGAACTGGGAGCAGAGACTGGGGATTGCTGTCTGGGAAGGTAGGGGAGTGGGGCTGCCTGCCTGTGCTGAGCACTGGTGTAGCTCCTGGTAAAGCTGGAGGGCAGTAGAGAGAGATTTTAACCAAGTAGTCTGGGAACGTGCTGTATGTTTTAGGAACCAGTTCTGCTAGATGGAGCTACCTCCAACATGCCTGGTCTTTGGAGATCACAGCCCTGATATATTAAAAGCACTATAGAGAGAATTATGGATAAATGTCAGGCATAGAGCTTATAGATGCATTTAAGATTTTTTCTTTGCACTCAGAAATGGTTTGTTCGTTTGTTTTTCCATTTTTTTGTTTTGGGGTTTTCTTTTAATTATTATGTGTTCTAAGAAAAATTACTAGTATTTTACTCTAGCTGTCAGTTGTACTAAGGTTTAATTCACATGGCAGTACAGGTTAAATCATTATGAAAGCTTGAGATAGGTAGAAAGGTGAAATGTCCTTGTTAAAGTGGATGTTTTTGCAATATCTCCATCCTAAAGCAAGAAAAAGTAATGTAAAACTACCACATAAAAAAATCAAGGTATGTCTTGTTCATAAGAAAGGTGTATCTAACATAAAGAGCTTTGGTACAACTTTTATCTTTCATTAGAAGAGCCTGGTGTGGGTAAGCCCTGAGTGTCAGCTAGCCCTAGCAAACAGCTTTAGCACTAGCAGGAAGGAAGGTGGAGGTAGTCTTCTGACAAAAACTCTTTTTGTTTAAATACTGGATTTATTGGAGTTTACAAGCTTGGATCAGATTAGCTACAAAGAAATGCTGATAGTATTGTAGTTCTGATAGGATAAATCCCTTATAAGGTTAATGTAATCTGGAATAAAAATATATTTATGTGGATCGTCTATATTATCAATTCAGAAAGCAATTGCATGACTTGAATTTTGTGGGATAGTAGATTAGCATTTGCAGCTTTATTTGTGGACATAGGGGAGATACAGTTAAATAAGAAATTATAAGCATAATTTGGCTTTTGTATTTGTCTTTCACTTACTATTCTCTCTGCATTTCTTAATAGAGCTGGGCTTTTTATGGGTTACACAAATATTTTCTTAGATTGGAAAACTTAATGAAATTATGTATGTATCCTGGCATTGAGTTGCAGCCAAGTTAGCTCATGTTTTAGTGGTTAATAAAACTTTACTGTCACGCACAGTACCTTTTAAAGATTATCTGTATTAATATTAGTATTTGAAGCCATGCTTTCAAGTAGACTTGTATTTCTGTCCTAGTGGTATTTTTAATATACTGTGCTTCTTTATAATACATTTTATGATTTAATTTATTTTCTAGGATTGCAGGAAGTAGTTCTTTGAATATCTAAGGGCTGGATATGATAGATTGGCAGGTGTTGTTCTACTTTATTAAAAAAAGTTTTTTTTAGAAACAGCCATTTAAATGTCATCTTATCTGTAGCAGTTGTTCACACTTCTAGAAATGTGAAACTAATGTGGTGTGTATGAGACAGTACTGTGGTGGGGCAGAGCAAATGACAAACTGGGAACATGAAGTCCCATCAGCTTGTTTCTCGTTATTGTCTTATGTTGTGGTTACGTGAAAAGAGGAGAACCAGCTCACCAATTCTCTGATACTTCACGGAAAGTTCTACATTTTTCTATGTATTTTCTCTATAATGTGGTAAAACAGACATTATAAAGCAGTTCGTGTTTTTAAATGTATATGATACTATCATTCTCAAGGCTGGACAAACAAGCTGAAACTGGTCCAGGATCTCAAACAAGTCCTCCAGCATGTGATAGTTTATTTGCTGCTCATGTATATTGTTTTGCCCCAGCAGTTTACAGGTGGAGGGTAGGAAGTAATAGAGGAAGAAGCTTTCCTGTGCCTGGAATCTCTGGGTGCTGTATTTCTGTGAAAACCTATTTTCTTTTGAAGCTGTGTGTATTAGTGCATAGCACTTATACCTTTGAAGGTTATGTAAGATCTGTGTTGCACTGCAGAGCTGACAACTGCATGTGTCATGGAAAAGAAACCATTAATTACATCATCAAGTAGTGTAGTGTCACAAGATTTCAGGTGAATGGAAACTAAGTCATTTTACACGTTTAACTCCCTTTCCCATATCTAGAATCTTCAAGACAGACACCAGTATTTCTTGTAATGCTGAGCTTGAATCATAGTACTGCAGTACAGGATATAGTTAAGGAAAATAAAACCTTTCTTCTGAATTGATCGCAAGAAATCTAAATATTTTCCTTTTTTTTTTTTTTTTTTTTTTTGATTTTTTTTTTTTTTTTTTTTTTTTTTTTTTTTTTTTTTTTTTTTTTTTTTTTTTTTTTTTTTTTTTTTTTTTTTTTTTTTTTTTTTTTTTTTTTTTTTTTTTTTTTTTTTTTTTTTTTTTTTTTCATTTTCTGGATACTCAGTTAAACTCCTCTTTAGTGAAGAGTTCTCTTTGCAGTCTTGGAAAGATAAAATGCAAGAGTGAAGTGATCCTCCCCTGCCTTCTTTGTGTAACTCAGATGTTACCTGTAGGATGAAAACAAGCAACAGTGGACTGTTGTTTCACATTACAAAGATAATGAAGTTGTAGTCTGGTTTTACTTTGAATAAAAATCTTTGCCTATAAACTCTACAAAAGACAAAGATGCAAGGTTCTTTGAAAATATGGTTATCTAATTTGGATTCTGTTTGGTATGTGTTCTTCATACATCTTGTTACACAATCCATCATAGTAAATTAAGAGGAAAAATACATTTCATCTCAGTTTTAGTATTTGGTATACGGTATTCATGCTTCATTGTTACTTTACAAAGAATAATACTGCTTTAGAAGATTCTAGACCTGCATAAAAATTTTCTAGCTCTTGCTTTTCTGAGCTAGAAGAAGTCATCCATGCTTTAAGGGTTCATTGATTTCTCTTCTGAGAAATTGAAAAAATGCTGCATTCTGTGTTCAGGGTAGGAAGATAGATGAGTGGCTGAGAGGCATAGATCATAAAGTATTCAGACTTTTAAGATATGGAATGTCCCTGAAGATAAAAAGGGGTTTTGCCACATTAATTAGGAAGGATACCATAGTAGTTCAATGAAATTAGAAGGGAAGGCAAGTAGAATTACCTGTTCTCTAAGCAGGTAAATGTGAATGCAGAATGTTATGTAATGTCTGTGGCACAGTATTAAAGTTTATGCTGGGAAGAAATCTGTAGAAAGAGAGAGAGGACAGTTGGAGGAGCTGCTATTTCCATTTGGTTAAATTGGAAATACGTATTGCACAGGTGAACTCTGTGTTATCTTAAACTGGACCTTCTTGTTAACAGTCTGTACATACTGGGAGTGCTGAACTCTGGCATTACTGAAGTACACTTTGAAAACTACATTTCAAATAAACCATGGCTAAGTGATTTGAGGCTTTAGGTAAATGGTGCTGTACTTTGTTAGGGTATACTCTTAGTTGTATCTAAAAAAGGCGCAGTTTCATTGCTTCTAGGGAAATTCCTGAATCGGAACAGTGCACTGGGTGTGGTCTATTAATCAGATAAGGAAATCTGCAAGTCAGCTATTTTCAGAATAAGAAGATCAAATTTCACAAATACTTAATCGCACATTAGCTGAATGATACAGTAGATGTTACAGTAGAGTCATACAGAGGGTGGTATCTACAAAGGGTTTTAATCTAGTTTTTCTGCACATCTTTCAAGCAAGTTACAACATGACTGTAATGCTCTCATTACTCTACAGGTAGCAGTCAGTGGGTTTGACAGGAAGCCACTAGAAACTCTTAAGAGACTCTTGAGTTTCCTGGTCAATTTTTTTTTTTTTTTAATTTTTATATAAATTGAGGTTTTTTATTGTGATGAAAATCTTTTGAGTGGTAGTGAGGTACCTCCACTTTTCAGATTGTAGCTGAATTTGTGAAAGCTTCTATCGATCCTAACTGGCTGCTCTGTTATCTTGCACACAGAGACTTGCTGTAAATTGTATCAGAGCAGGCAATAGTCTGTTCACAACTCCTCCAGCTTTATTTCGTTCACACCTTGAGGTCTTAGAGCTGAAAATACTGTTAGGTGATGGACAGAAAGAGATTTTCTGTTGGCAAAATCATGAGTAATAAAGCTGGAGATGGATGAAGATGTTCTCATCTCATGCTGTGGTCACAAAGCATGTTCCAAATGAATCAGATAGTGCTCCTAATTTTTCTTTCCTGTGTGTTCTTCGCTAAGAAGAAAACAGATGGAATTTTTCTTCTGAATGCCTACCTTCACAAAAGCACTTTAGTAGGATGAACTAGAACAAATGATGCTTAACTCTCCTTCTGTTGAGAAATTGAGGGCTACTTTGGACATAACTTAGTCCTATCTTTATTCTGTGAAAGTGTGTTTGTGTGGATGTTCATGTAATTTCCTAAAATGTAATTTGCAAACAAGATTTACTTTAGCTCTATTTTGAAGTACTAATGCATACAGAGATAGAAAACAAAAAAGCACCCAAGAAATTTTGGAGTTGTTACTGCTCTTCTGTGGGACTGAATCCGTGGAAAGTGACTTCAGTTCAGAAAATTAGAAAATTGCATGTATGTTCAGTCGTGCGTAAAATTATACTGTTGTGGTTATCAAGCATTTGGATTTTCTAAACACATGAATGAGAGAGACTCTCTTTGTAAAATTCTTACCAGTTACATCACTACTTTTCTATCCCACCTCAAAAAGGGAAAATACCCTCTTTCTGTTTATACTGGCTACGATTAGAAGATCTGTGATTAAGATATAAAATATTTGAGGTAGGTATTTCTATAATAAAGTGATTAGCTCAAATTTTTGCCACAACCTTGGAAGAGGAGGTTCTCACGTCTTGTATAGTTCAAATATTTATTAATGTAAGTATTCTGTTGTTGTACCTGTGAAGCTCTTAAACAGAGAGATGCAAAAATATTCTCTTTGTTTTGGTTTGGTTTTTAATGTCCAGGTCAAAATCTTGACAGCATGCTTCATGGCACAGGAATGAAGACAAATCCTGACCAAAAGAAACAAGTGAATGGAGTGACACTTGCTCCAGAGGACACCTTACCTTTTCTTAAGTGCTACTGCTCAGGACATTGTCCAGATGATGCTATTAATAACACATGCATGTAAGTATTGCATACAGGATAGAAGAGGCTCTTTGAAGAGAGCCCATTTTTGCTTGTGAGAGAGGAAACTCTTAGAGTGCTGACTGAGGTTTTGTCAAGTGATTTGACCGTAACTGATTAGAAACTCAGTGGTTCTGTGGAGAGCTGAGCGCTAAAACCCACAGTCATCCATATCTAAACAATACTGTTTTCACCGTACCTTAGAGCCATTTGCAACTGGTCATTTGACCCCAGCAAGCGCTTTGAAGGATTGAGGTTTTAAGTAACCTGTAGCCTTTTATAACTGAATGAGTATTAAATGACCTAAATCTAAACCTTCTGGTATGACTACCTGCTGGCTTAGTCTAGTATTTCTTCACCTAGTAGTCAAAAGGTAGTGTTAGCAACATAACCATTTATTGAGAATTCTTGTTAGATGTTCGTTAGCTGTAGAGTAGGAGGGAAAGGCAGGGGGAAGGCGGGGGTGATCAGGGTGAAAGTACTCTGAACACATAAGGACAGGAGGGTACTTTTAACTTTGATAGGCGTCAGAATTGTAACAGACCCATGCACTGATTGTGCGCCTGCTTAAGATGCTTTATTCATGTTGTAAACTGTCCTTGGTTTTCTTTTTTTCTCTTCATTTGCAGTTCAATATTTAAGACTCTTCTGTTGTTGTTGTTTTTTTTTTCCTGAAGAATTAATATAAAGATACATAATAGGAAGTATATTACTTGCTACTTTTAATCTGAGTCTTCACCTTAACACATAAGCTTCTCTAAAGCTGTCACTTAGCAGATAAAGACGTTTTTGTGGAACCCAGGAAGGTGGAATAAGCACTACCATCTTTTAGAATGTAAACACAGCATTTTATAAATAGTTTTGCACCTAGAAAATGTTTTGTTATTACCCAGTATTTTGTCTTTTAATTCCTTTGGTACGTACTTTCTCGCTTTTTATCGCCCCCTCGTGTATGCAATCAGTATAGGCCTTATTTTTTCCCTTCGAACCAATGGCTATATAGATCATTATTCTGATAATAAAGCTGTTAAGAGAGTTAGTAACACTTATGCAGTGTTCATGTGGAGGGTATTTTATGGTATTATGCTTACCAAATCTGCATTTCTTTTAATAAATTATTGACAAGCAAAAATATTTCTGGATTTGTATTCCTTAGTATCTCTGATGAGGGAATGAATGAGTTTTGATTTACTTAATAAAATCTTAATTTTTACAGATACTTAAATCACGGACCTATGATTGCAAATTGGTTCGGGATTCCATATAAATATTGTTGACATTTTGGTGTGATATAGAAATCAAAGCATTTTTATAAAGAGATAGTAAGTAGGGAATTGAAATGCCTGGTTTGGGTTTGGTTTTTTTTTTAATTTGTTCTTTTTAAAGAATATGATTAATTAAATATTTGTTACTGACAACTTCAGAAAGTGGATTTGGGGGTTTGTTGGTTTGTTTTGCCCTGAAGTCTGAATATTTGAGAAAGGTCGTGTGGGAAAAGCGTAGCTGAGCTTTTGACCTTGAAATAGCCACCTTGCACATACTGGGATTTCTCTTCAAGAGTTTATCATTACAGTTTCAAGAACAGGCACAAATGAATTTTTTTATTACTACGTTTTAACCTATAGTAGTCAGTATACCTTTTTAGTTAGATCTTTGCTTTTCCACCCCCTCAATTGTTTCTAAACAACTGTGGGTATGTGGTTGAATACAAGCAGTCCTGAAGTGGTGGTGGGGGTGAGGAAGTGGAGGACAGAATGTTTGGGAGAAAACATCCGTACAATTTCTGTGATTAAATATTGTGGCGGTCTTTTGTTCTCAAACTGTATGGTAACCACTGTGTTAAAATTAGAATTTTTCTGGTTATTGCCATTCTAGTTTTCTTAATGGGTTCCTGGTCAGCTAATGCTGTATATTTAACAACAAGCATGCTGGTAAAGCACAAATTATGTTTATTCCAGAACTAATGGGCATTGCTTTGCTATCATTGAGGAAGATGAACATGGAGAGCCCACACTTGCTTCTGGCTGCATGAAGTATGAAGGTTCAGACTTCCAGTGCAAGGTAAAAAAATTGAGCTGCCATTAAAATTTAAGATCTCCATGGAAATTATGTATGGAAAGTGCATAAGCAGTTTAAATCTTTGTAGTTTACAACTGCAATCATAAATTTTGCTTGTTGCAATTTACCACCGAGGAGAGTGGGACTGAACAGTTGTGGGTGAGTAGTGGCAGAAAAGACATGGTGTGGGAGCAAAGACTGAAATAGAATCCTAGCTTGTTGGAGTTCTCTGCAAGTATCTGTAAGCCACATCTGTAAGACAAAATGAACAGACATCAACCTTTTACTTCTGTCCGCTTTTTCCTCAGTTGAAGAGGCACCTTTACAGCCCATCTCTAATCAATCTGAATATTTTGTTTTCATGCAGAATTTCTCGATTGGTTTAATTTTTAATTACTTCTTTTTTTGAGAGAAGTGCATAATCATAAGGAGTTGTCTTCACAGATCACACAAGAGCTCCCTTAAAGTTTCATGAACGTGTACACAATTTATCAAATTTTTTCCTGTCTGATATACAACTTTATTTTTTCCTTTGTAGAAGAGTTAATGTATTGTTAATTGCATGGCTATAACTTGCCCTTGGTTTAAAGGGGTGTAATAAGCAGACTGCTGCCTTTGGAACTTCTTTTTTATGAAAGTTGGAACTCAAAACACAGTTAATAAAGCAAGGGTTTATTTGGAAGACAGAGATACAGCACTAGCTGGGCAAATACTGCTTTGGAAGACTGGATTTTGCTTTTTCTTTTGTCACATTGCCTACATTAAACAAATCTTTCAGAGATAATCACCAGCTAGATTGCTTCCTCCCCTTTCCCTGCCTCCCCCCCATCCAATATCTCTAGGACTTGGGTTTCTATATAATGTAGCTGTGGGTAGCATTGCTTTTTGGAAGCGCTGTCGACTTCAGTTACAGCTGTGAATGTTTAGGGTTACTGCAAATCAAACCTGGGGTGTCATGATGACCTCCTGAAATTGTACTTATATTAGTGTCTTATTTTCAGATTAATTTTCATGTCCCTCTATCTTTTATGTGGTGTTCTGAAGATGCAAATAGTGCTACTATGATGAGTGCAAGAGAAAAACTTGTAAAGGGATTCGGGGTTTTTTTGTCTGAAGAGCAGTATTTATTTAACATACAATTAGCTGCTTTTGACCAAGCTTAAAAATTTTGCAGTGTGTGAAGCAGCAGCTTAAGTAGGAATCATTTGTTTCTGTGCACCAAGTACAAAAAGCTCCAAAATGTGAACGCATGAACCCAAAGAGACGAAGTGATGCCTGTCTGCCACTGTGATGTTGTCTCATACGCCACCTATCCCCATCCTAGCTGATCACTTCAAAATCTGAACCTTTATTCGATTATCCTTCAACAGGACTCACCTAAAGCACAATTACGTCGAACAATTGAGTGCTGTCGGACCGATTTCTGTAATCAGGATTTACAACCAACATTACCACCACTTGACAGTACAGGTAACAGCTCTTAGATGTTCACACTGCTACTAATAAATGTGGTGTGGATTCTGTTCTTCAGATCCTGATCAACAGATAAGAACAAGGAGAAAATGTAACTACAGTATTGCACAGATTTGTTTTTTCTGTCCTAAGTAATTTTGATAAGAAGCTGTCTACTACACTTCATGCTCTATTCCAGTTTTCCTTTTCTGCCACTTCCAAGTTAATCTTTTCCTCCATCAGTCACTCATGGTATTTTTATTCTCTGGCTCAGTTTGCTTGTATCTTGATCTTTTGATCTTTTTCCACAGCCCATTCTCTTTTCTTTTTAAAATAGTTTTTGTAATAATCTCTGCCATGTTTTTGCCATGATGAATGTATCTTAAATATAAAATGTATTCTGACATTGTTTACTGTTATCTACTCTATATTGATTCTTGCTGTTGTTCCCAGTGAAGATAGCTTATATTTTCATGCGCTTATTCAGTGCTAGACAAGTTGTACTAGTTTAACTGTTGCTTAATACCTTCTCAGAATCTTACTGCTGGAAATCCTTTGTTTCTATTTCTCAGAACAAACTAACAAGAATCAACCAAAACCAAGAATCAACCAAAACCAATTCCAAAAATCTCAAGTTAAATCATCCTTTTTTGTTTGGTTGGGGTTTTTTTTGTTTGGTTTTTTTTTGTTGTGGGGGTGGTTTTTTTGGTGGGGTTTTTTGTTGGTTTTTTTTTTTTTTTTTTTTTTTTTTTTTTTTTTTTTTTGACTTGTTTTTTGTTGGAATCCAAATGAGATTATCTCTGCTTTTCCAGTGTAAATACTTACTTTGATACTGTAACACTATAAATTTTGTGTAATTTCATGTGGACTGATCTTTTGTATGCATCAGCTGTCCTGCTTCTTTCTGACATTTTGCAATTGGCTCCGCATACTGTCACAGAATTGCAGACTGGTTGAGGCTTACGTAGGACCTCTGGAGCTATCTGGTTCAATCCCCCTGCTGAAGCCAGTTGCACAGGACCATGTCCAGACAACTTTTAAGTCAACACAACCTCCTTGGACAACCTGTGCTAGGGCTTGATCACCCTTAAGTAAAGAAGTATTTCCTGATGTTCAGATTAAAACCTCCTGTGTTGCAGTTGATGCACATTCATATACACAGTATATTAAAATATACCTAAATAAACTGTTTGCATTGGGTGCTTCATCAATAGACTTTGGAAACTTTAATCTTTTTTTCTTTTTTTTTTTTTTTTTTTGCTTTGTTTTGTTTTGTTTTTAAATAGATGGACTGTTTGATGGAAGCATTCGTTGGATGGCGGTGTTGATTTCTATGGCAGTCTGCATAATTGTCATGATCATCTTATTTAGCTGCTTTTGTTACAAGTAAGGAAAGCACTTTCTTTATTGGCAATATTTTTGATTTCCCAAATGAATGTAAACAGAAAAATTATTTTGTGCATGTACTCAGTTAATCATGTCTATTTCTGACAAAAATAGATCAAAAGTGAAGCTGTTGTAATTTAATTTCACACTTCTATGGATAGCAGTTTGCATTGCAAAGTAAAATGAAATGTTCACAGTGTAGAATTTAAGTGAATTTAATCCTTCCCTCTGGCTAAAAAATGTTTATAATTTTCTACATTACGTATAACTTTGATGCTATATCATCCAGTCATCCAGTAAACAGGAATATCTTAATGCTCTCTCTCTTTTTCTTTTTTTTTTTTTTTTTTTTTTTCTTTTTGGATCTTCAGTCACTTTAGATAGTTAAATTCCATCTAGTTCTGAGATTTACTTTGCAAACCTGAAGCAACAAGGATGTGTTTAGAACTTTTCCTTTTCTGCTGTGTTTCAAAACTGAATAATTGACCAGCCAAGCTGTGGCGATTAATGCAAGTGCAGTTTAAGAGACTGTGCCTGCTTCTGTCAGCGCCAGCCCTGTGCTGGAGGTGATCCTTGTTCCAGCAGTTTCAGCAGACACACTCATGTGGCAGCCTCGTCTGCCGTGGTTCAAGGTTCAGGCTGTTAGTTGAAACCAAAACCAGTGGTGTTACACTAGTAACACTGGCTGTGAGCTGAGTATTAAAAATGCTGGTGTTCCACCTGACTCGCAATAAGCTGATGTGCCTTTACACACATTACAACTTTTTAGTATTAACTACGTATGTTAAATTTCTGGAAGAAAATAAAAAGGTACAGTAACACCTGATTATTATTTTTTTCTTTTAAGAAAACTTGTACATTTAAATAGCTTTTTTCCTCATTCAGTTTACTACATATTTTGAAAAAGTTTTTTGAAATTCAGCTTAATCTCTCCTGTTACTTTTGCAGGCATTACTGTAAGTCAATGGCAAAGAGGCACTGTTATAATCGTGACCTGGAACAAGATGAAGCATTTATTCCAGCTGGGGAGTCATTAAAAGACCTTATTGACCAGTCACAGAGTTCTGGGAGTGGATCAGGACTACCATTATTGGTAAATCATAGATTTTTCTTGACTGAACTTCTCTCCATTAAATAAACAGTTTGGTTTGTACCTAATGGCTAGAACAAAGCAGAGCGTCAATACAGTGTATTATTTTATGTGCAATTACCGTGAAAGATACAGCACAAACTAAATATGTATGAAAGCCCATATTCACATAATTAACTAAAACAAAGTGCAAAATCAGATTGTTTTGGGAAATCTGTTGGCATCAGCAAGATTTAAGAACAGTGAGAGCCTACAGACATTAAGATGCAGTGAATGGCTAGTACAAGTATTGAATTGAACAAACTCAAAGATGTTTTTTTCTCAGTGTCCACTATCTGATAAAAAAGATTAGCTTTTTACTGGCTGATAGTTGTTCATAATTTGTTATTCATCTTCCTATATAGTACTTGCATAAAAATTAGCCACTGAGACAGATGACTGTAATTATTTATAAAATCGAAACAAATAGAATGCGTAAGAAGTTGAGCTGATTTAATCTTCGGGTTTGTTATACAATTCTTCCTTGGAGGCAGCAATAATGAGTTTGAAATTGGAATAGCGGAAAAGATGGAATAACTTACATAGAATAACTTTTGCAATGGGGTTAAAATTCAAAGCAATCCAGACTTGAGAAGTAGCTCATCCAAGTACTTTTGGTTAATCGTTGGGTGTCCCTCCTCCACTTTCCTCTCTGTCTTATTCTCTAGGTTCAGCGCACTATTGCCAAACAAATTCAGATGGTGAGGCAAGTTGGAAAAGGACGATACGGTGAAGTGTGGATGGGCAAGTGGAGGGGTGAAAAAGTCGCAGTGAAAGTGTTCTTCACCACAGAAGAAGCTAGCTGGTTCCGAGAAACAGAGATTTACCAAACTGTTTTAATGCGTCATGAAAACATCCTTGGTAAGGAAGCAGTACATTGTTTGGCTACTGGAGAGCTTTTGTGAGGGTGAAGGAGTGGGTGGCTTGAGGAGTATATGATGGATTTTATGGAATAACCAAATGGGTGTCCCTTAGTGTATGCTAATAAAATGTTAACTGAAAGGATAGGATATGGCCGGTCTTGGTTGGAGATGTGTCTGCAATCTCTTTGCTGGAAGACTGAGATGGTAACTTCATGTATAGTTGAAGTCTAAGCTTTTACATTACTAGTTTTCCATAGGGGAATGGGTATCTTCTGACACAGTCCAAAACAGTATTGATGTAGGAATTTTTAGTGAATGTTTCATAAAGAAATTATGTACAAATCATAGAATAGTTAGGGTTGGAAAG